GATAGATAGATAGATAGATAGATAGATAGATAGATAGATAGATAGATAGATATGATTCATTAGATGAACATTACCTCCAGTTGTGTCCATGAATGAGATGTCAAAAAACTCAAGATGATGATCATGACTGCAATTAAATCTCCCCTCTTCATGTTTGTGTTGACTTCACACACACATATAAAACAGCAGGACTTCAATTTTGTGATTGCAACAGCATCCTGACTTTTTTAAATCAGTCCCTGTAGATGCTGCTGATTATCAGTAGAATGAGACTAACCTGGTTAAAGGTGCTTTGTAAACAGTGCCACTTGTTTCCAGCATCTCAAACATTGAGTTTATGAGTAGAAAAGAATATGTATAACTCAAAGTATAATGGTGGGGTCCTTTGTGCTTTCAGAGCTTGCTTGTTTTCTTGTAGACATTTCATGACCCAACTAGGTAACATCATCAGTGCTAGAAGGGAGCAGGGTTTGCTCTCTGTTAACCCTACTCCCTTCTAACATGAAGACTAGTTGGGTCATGAAATGTTTGCAAGAAAACAATTAAACTCAGATGCTACACTACAATTTATCATCAGTCTGAAACAAATTCTCTTCTTTCTTTCTTTCTTTTCCACCTTCCTTCCTTCCTTCTTTTTTTTAGTTCATATTGAGAATATTGGTGTAAAATATACACCCAGCATTCGGTCCATCAAGTTTGTTATTCAGCCTCCTTACACACCTTTGAAGGATGAAAATAACTCCCCGCTGACTGTAGTGGACATTTTCAAAAAACATGATATTCAGTTCCAGTATGAAATAATAATGACCCAGATGAAGGTAAGAAAGGGGACACATGAATGATTCAGTGGTGGGTTTCAAAATTTTTTACTACCAGTTCTGTGGGTGTGGCTTGGTGGGCGTGGCTTGGTGGGCGTGGCAGGGGGAGGATGCTGTAAAATCTCCATTTCCTCCCGATCAGCTGGGACTTGGGAGGCAGAGAATAGATGGGGGTGGGGCCAGTCAGCATTTTTACTACCGGTTCTCCGAACTACTCCAAATTTCCACTACCGGTTCTCCAGAACTGGTCAGAACGTGTTGAAACCCACCTCTGAAATGATTATTGACTTTTTTTTTTTTAATTTGATTTATATGCTGCCCTTCTCCGGAGACTCAGGGCGGCTTACAATGTGCTAAGCAATAGCCTTCATTCTTTTGTATATTTATACAAAGTCAGCTTATTGCCCCCACAAACTGGGTCCTCAATTTACCTACCTTAGAAAGGATGGAAGGCTGAGTCAACCTTGAGCCTTGGCGAGATTCGAACCTGCAGTAATTGCAGGCAGCTGGTCTTAATAACAGGGTGCTTTAGACCTCTGTACTACAAGGCTCTTACCTTTAAGGCACATGATACAATAAGCGTAAATCAAATCCAACCTTTATTACAGTCAAAAACCAGCATGTCCAATAAGCTTTAAAAGAATCATGCAGGGGTGTCCGCAGAAGGATTAAAAAAAAGTCAAAATGGGGACCACAAGTATTATTTATGTATTTATCTGTTTGTTTATTTTTCACGTTTTGTAACTGTCCATCTCCCTCAGAGGTACCTTAGGTACAATATAATCAACAAAGTTAACACTAAAATCAGAATAATTTAAGATTAAAAAGTTTAAAATTATATCAATAATACAGTTGAAGCCCCACCCTCTTTTTATGATGCATGTACCAGATGTTTGGAGCAGTGGTGGGTTGCTCCCAGTTTGCACCCATTTGCAAGAACTGGTAGTAAAAATTTGTAGTAGTTCGGAGAACCGGTAATAACATTGGCTGGCTACACCCCCGAACTGGTCCTCAGCCCGGTCACCTCTTGCTTACCCCGCCCACCTCATCAGAGGTTTTTGTTTTTTTTTACTTTTAAAAGCATTTTTTCTACAACCTATTTGGCTGAAGAGGTTGTAGAAAAAAAAATGCCTTTAAAAGCCTCTGGCGATCCCAGCTGAGTTGCCTGATCATCAGAGGCTTTTAAAAGCATTTTTTTCTGCAACCTCTTAAAGTTGTAGAAAAAAATGGTTTTAAAAGTAAAAAAAAAAAAAGTTGGCCATACCCACCCAGTCACATTACCCACCAGCACTACGCCATGCCCACAAAATAAGCCACTCCCACAGAACCGGTAGTAAAAAAAATTTAGAACCCACCCCTGGTTTGGAGGCTAAGCAGGGGGAAATTGGGGGCCTGGCTTGATAAATAAAAACAGGATTAGAGGAAGGGGAGAGGTCAAAGAAGACGAGGTCATGGGTTGGATCAGGGAGCTGCACTAGTCATACTAGAATCAGGGATCCAAAATTGCCAATGGTGGGTTTCTACCGGTTCTATCTGGTTCGGGCGAATCGGTAGCAGCGGTGAGAGGCTCCGCCCACCCGCCCGGGTGTCATCACGGACACTCTGTACATGCGCAGAAGGTTCTGCACATGCGCAGGCATGGCGCATGTGCTCACATTTGCGAACCGGTAGCAAAGGTAAATGAATCCCACTATTGAAAATTACCCAAAGTACCCACCGCCACATACAAGCTCTCCATAGATCTTCTGTTATGTGGACATTCAGTTGATTTTGGAAACCGCATCTTTCTCTTTCTCGCCTCTTGGTTTAGTGGAAAAAAATTGTAAATGATGCGGAATTCAACATCACTGACTTGGATCCCAACACGGAATATAATGGAACGATAAGCATCCGACATTCTGACAAAATCAGCAAGCCCTGTGTTTTTCGTGTAAAGACGTTATCAGGTATGGTTCTGAAGCCCAGTTAGATCTTGAGCAGAGTTATTGTCTTTCCTTGAATTAAAAACGTTTCAAAGTCTGCTAACAGTTCAAGCGGTTTGCATCGTATTGCAATGGAATTCTCCCCGCTCAGAAGGTTCCCTGGATCTCTGCATGAAATACGTCATCTCAAGGGCAGTGCTGCCCAATGGTTAAATGATTTGGAGATCTGGCCAAGTAGTCCTTGACTTACCACCAGTGGTGGGTTTTAAATTTTTTTACTACCGGTTCGGTGGGTGTGGCTTGGTGGGCGTGGCAGGGTAAGGATACTGTAAAATCTCCATTCCCACCCCACTCCAGGAGAAGGATACTGCAAAATCCCCATTTCCTCCTGATCAGCTGGGACTCGGGAGGCAGAGAATAGATGGGGGTGGGGCCAGTCAGAATTTTTACTACCGGTTCTCCGAACTACTCAAAATTTCTGCTACTGGTTCTCCAGAACTGGTCAGAACCTGCTGAAACCCACCTCTGCTTACCACAGTTCATTTGTAAACTGTTCAGATGTACAGTTCGTATGTTTGTAAGATGTAAAATACAGCTGTTCAAAGTTACAAAGGCTTATGACCATTTTTCACACTTATGGCCATTGTGGCATTCCCAAGGTCACATGATCAAAACTTAGCCGCTTTTTTTGGCCAAATAAATTGGTCGCCACGATGTAAAAAAGATGTTGAGATTCTAGAAAGAGTAAGAGAAGAGCAACAAAGTTGATTAGGGGACTGGAGGCTAAAACATATTTATTTATTTATTTATTGGTTCGATTTATATGCTGCCCTTTTCCGGAGACTCAGGGTGGCTTACAATGCGTTAAGCAATAGCCTTCATACTTTTGTATATACCTGCTTAGTAGGGCTTTCGGGCCTCCCCTAAGCGGTGTTCTTTTTTTATACAAAGTCAGCTTATTGCCCCCACAAACCGGGTCCTAAAGAACAGTTGCAGGAACTGGGTATGTCTAGTTTAATGAAAAGAAGGACTAGGGGAGACATGATAGCAGTCTTCCAGTATTTGTGGGGCTGCCCCAAGGAAGAGGGAGTCAAACTATTCTCCAAAGCACCTGAGGGCAGGACAAGAAGCAATGGGTGGAAACTAATCAAGGAGAGAAGCAACCTAGAACTAAGGAGAAATTTCCTGACAATTAGAACAATTAATCAGTGGAACAACTTGCCTCCAGAAGTTATGAATGCTTCAACACTGGAAGTTTTTAAGACGATGTTGGATAACCATTTGTCTGAAGTGGTGTAGGGTTTCCTGCCTAATCAGGGGGTTGGACTAGAAGACCTCCAAGGTCCCTTCCAACTCTGTTATTCTATTGTTTATTGTCTGGTTGGTTTAGCTTTGCTTGCCATTTGAGACTCATCCTCAAAAAGAAAGCATGGCACTTTTTTTTTTCAACAAGCGACCATTTGCAGCAAAAATCCATTGAGTTATAATGCTATTTTCTAATCATGATCTGTCATATCTGAATAAAATCATGGTTTATTTTTAGCATTTCTTTTTTGTTCTTGTTCTTGTTTTTATGAGGTATTGGCAAGACAGAAAATGAAACAAGTGGGAATGAGGTGAACAGACTAGAATTATTTGATTTACCTGTAAGAATGACTCTCATTTATATAAATCTAGATCAGAGGTTATGCCTGAATGTAGCCTTTTCTTGGCCATCTTTGGCTGATTTTGATTTTTGTTCCTCTTTCCCATAATTGAGGATGAAGAATGAAATTATTGAATCCTTTAAATACAGATAGGAAGATGGTTATTCTTTCTAGTCCTGCCCTAGAAGATTTGGGCAATTCAGATTTTTTTTTTCTTCTGCATGTCTCCCTGATGACTAATTAATTTGTTGCCTTCTGTCCATAGATAAGACCTGGCTGCAATATCTGTTTGGAATGATTATATTTATAATCATATTTACCTTTGGAACTGTATTATACTTCATGTATAAGTATGTTAAACAACACACCATTCAGCAGCCCACATCTTTGGTATGTTATTTTCAATTACTATAAAAGTCTCCGTTATTTTTTCATCTGTCTTTTTTCATCTACATTATTTTTTATAAATAACTCAAGGTGGTGAATATACCCAGCAGTCCTTCCTCCTCCTATTTTCCACACAACAAGTGAGTTGGGCTGAGAGAGAGAGTCATGACCCAGAATTATCCAGCTGGCTTTCATGCCTAAGGTGGGACTAGAACTCACAGTCTCCTAGTGATCGGCCCAAAGCCATCCAGCTGGTTTTCATGCCTAAAATAGGACTAGAACAATCTTCTGCTTTCTGGACTGGTGCTTTAATCATTAGACCAAACTGGCTCATAAATTATGAATTATGGTCTCATGTTGAAGTCCACATATAGAATAGAATAGAGTTGGAAGGGACCTTGGAGGTCTTCTAGTCCAACCCCCTGCTTAGGCAGGAAAGCCTACACCACTTCAGACAAATGGTTATCCAACATCTTCTTAAGAACTTCCAGTGTTGGAGCATTCACAACTTCTGGAGGCAACTTGTTTCACTGATTAATTGTTCCAACTGTCAGGAAATTTCTCCTTAGTTCTAAGTTGCTTCTCTCCTTGATTAGTTTCCACCCATTGCTTCTTGTCCTGCCCTCAGGTGCTTTGGAGACTAGCTTGACCCCCCTCTTCTTTGTGGCAGCCCCTGAGATATTGTTAAGATATTGTTAATATTGTTAAGCTGCCAAGGTTTTAAAATACTGCTGTAATCTTATAAGTATCCCTGGAGAAAATACATATAATTGGAACTTAGTTTCGAATTTATCAATATATAATAATCAAATTGAAGAGGGATAAGTTAACTTCTAATCAATAAAATAAATTTTAAATTGCATTTTTTGTATAAGACTCTGAACTAGCATCTAATGCTGAACCTTCTTCCTTGATAGGATTTCAAAGGTATTTCCCGTTTCCAACCTCTCATATTGAATGTGGAGCATGCCCTGAGTCCTTATGATTTATCCAAGATAATCCAACCAGAGGTGTGTTCAACCGAGATTAGCCATCACATCCAGGGCATGCAAGAAGACCAAAAATTATTCAATCCAAGAGTGACATCTTATCAGCAACAGTCCAGAATGCCACCATTCCAGCCTCTTGACCAACCCTTGAATGGTCCTTCAGTTGGATATGCCCCACAAGTGATCAAGAACAGCCGATCGCGTATCCTAGGAAACAATCCTTCCACATTAACGTATGGATTATGCATTGAAGAGACCAGCCACAAGGCAAACCAGGGGATTAAGTTTGATTCTTTTATAAGCAACGGACACTACAAAGCCCAGAGACCAGAAAGGACTAACAAAGAGTTGACCACAATTCATCAGAAGGAAGGGTTGGTGGTAGAAACTATCTCCCAGATTCAACATCTCCCACTTCAGGAAGACTCAAAAGATCCACCACAGGAATCTCCAAGACTTCTGGGAGAATGGAGTCCTACCACAGTTTATAGAAGCAAAGGAAGCTACAGAAAGCAGGCAGAAGTTCTACCTTCCAGCTTAGAAGTTGGCCAAAACGCTATCTTGGAGGGAGGTGATTCTCTACTGTTAAGTGTCCCACCACCGCCCTTGTTTGCACGTTCTTCTTGCAACAACCTCCCTCAAGATCTCAGCACAGGTCAACCACCAGTCTTCTGTCTCTCTGCCTGGACTGATAATTTTCTACATTCCAATCCATTTGGATTCCAAATCACAGACTGTCTAGCTGAAGAAAGCCGGGGATTAAAAAGTGAGCCTCAGACTTTAGATATTTCCCCAAATATCCTGGACACTAATCAACTCAACGGACCTTTCCCCAGTTTGTTCAATGACTTGGAGCTGAAGCTCCAGTGGGATGGTGGCCCAGAGGAAACAACTTCTTAAGCAATACAAAGATTTTGGGAATTTCTTTCTACAAAACGAAGTGGAAAGCTGATACTTATTTTCTAATGTACCCTGATTGCTCTCCATGAGCTGCATGTCTGTGTCTTAAAAAGGAGGAATTTTCAGAAAACTGCATTCCACATTTATATTTATACTGGCTAGATGGAAAAATGAAAATAGAATGAAATAAATAGTCTATGTTTGACATGTAATCTGATAGCATCTTTTTACAGCTGTGGAATACACTTTTTTGGGAAATATATATATATATATATATATATATATATATATATATATATACACATATAAACCCTCTAAAGACTGCAGGAAAATATGTCAGGAATAAGTTGGTGTTACTGGAGAGGACTGTCTATATAAGCTTTATTTTAGCTTGATTTTGTTTTTATTACTCCATCTTTTAAGAAATTATGCCATCTGATTTTAGCAATGCAATCTTGGGAGCTCCAGGGCTGCAGAAATAATGGTGTCGGTGGGTGATAGGTAGTCCTCAACTTACGACCGCAATTGAGCCCAAAATTTCCATTGTTAAGTAAGACATTCGTTAAGTGAGTTTTGCCCCATTTTATGACCTTTTTTGCCTCGGTTGTTAAGTGAATGACTGCAGTTGATAAATTAGTAATCCGGTTGCTAAATGGATCTAGCTTCCCCATTGACTTGGCTTGTCAAAAGGTCACAAAAGGCCTTGTAAAGAAATCCAGATGAAAAGAACACCCAGAAGGACTACCTCTTAATAGAATAGAATAGAATAGAATAGAATAGAATAGAATAGAATAGAATAGAATAGAATAGAATAGAATAACAGAGTTGGAAGGGACCTTGGAGGTCTTCTAGTCCAACCCCCTGCTTAGGCAGGAATCCCTACACCATTTCAGACAAATGGTTGTCCAATCTCTTCTTAAAAACGTCCAGTGTTGGAGCACTCACAACTTCTGGAGGCAACTTTGTTCCACTGATTAATTGTTCTCACTATCAGGAAAAGGAGCCTGGATAGCTCAACAGACAGAGCTCTGTAATTTAAGACCAGCTGTCTGCAATTAAAGTAAGATCGAATCCCGCCAGGCTCAAGGTCGACTCAGCCTTCCATCCTTTCTAAGGCAGGTAAATTGAGGACCCAGTTTGTGGGGGCAATAAGCTGACTTTGTATAAATATACAAAAGTATGAAGGCTATTGCTTAACGCATTGTAAGCCACCCTGAGTCTCCGGAGAAAGGCGGCATATATAAATCAAATTTTAAAAAATTTAAAAAAATTAAAAAAAAATTTCTCCTGAGTTCTAAGTTGCTTCTCCTCCTTGATGAGTCTCCATCCGTTGCTTCTTGTCCTGCCTTCAAGTGCTTTGGAGAATAGCTTGACCCCCTCTTCTTTGTGGCAACCCCTGAGATATTGGAAGACTGCTACCAAGTCATCACTATTCAGCGGTGAAATCCATTTACCTTCGCTACCAGTTCGGGAACAGGAGCGCACGGGAGTGCGCATGCTCCACACATGTGCGCGCCTCTTCTGCATGATGTCCCGATGGGCGGGCGGAGCCGCCCGCTGCTGGCACTACCAGTTCAGTAAGCCAGATAGAACCGGGCGGATTTCACCACTGCCCCTAGTCCTTCTTTTCAGTAAACTAGACATACCCAGTTCCTGCAACCGTTCTTCGTATGTCTTAGCCTCCACTCCCCTAATCATCTTTGTTGCTCTTCTCTGCACTCTTTCTAGCATCTCCACATCTTTTTTACATCGTGGCGACCAAAACTGGGTGCAGTATTCCAAGTGCGATCTTACCAAGGCATTATAAATCTTACTTTATTGTAGGTTACATTAACAGAATCTTGTAAAACAGAAAGTAGACCTCTCCCTGTCGGCTTGCAAAAGCCAAGATAAGATACACGGAGGTCCTTCCAAACAGTTTCCTTTATTGTTCCTCAGCCACAGATAGAAATGTTGCCAAGTTGAAACCAATGACTTGCACCATGAAACGTATGGGCTGGAAACTATTAGGGAGGAGTTTCTTCCACGCAAGCTATCTAAACTTTGCTGTGTTTCGCTCCTCTGGAATGCAGCCCCTGCCTCCTGGGAATCCAGATTACATTCTACCACACTCTCCCCCTCACCTCACCTTTACGATCCAAGAAGCTAGGAAGGGTCTCTTGTGACAAGTTTGCCATGCCCTCATTCCTTCGAAGGGCTCGGCTATCTCTGATCTGATCATTGCCTAATCTGCAGCTCTTCCTCCTATCTCCCAAGATCATTCCCACATACCATTAAAGATTTGTGGTCATAATGAACTGGCTTGCATTGGCAAGTTCCCAGCAACTAACTCGTGTAATTTACAGAGGGGTTGTGTGCTCATTTCAAGTGAATCCTGGGATTGTACGATCCCGGGAAGTCCTCCTTATCTTAGGGCAGGGGTCTGCAACACTCAAAAGAGCCATTTGGACCCGTTTCCCACAGAAAAGAAAACACCGGGAGCCACAAAAACCCTTCCCGTGCCTGACTATTTCTTGAGCAGCCACAAAACTAACATATGTAGTTGAATTAAACGTTCTGTTTTCTTCTGAACTTTTCTTTTCTTGGATTTATCTATGGTTGGCCTACCATGAAAAGCTCAATAAATCACGTGCCAGTGGGTGTCAACATTGGTGGTTGTGACGTATATTTTGAATGCCAGGGAGCCGCAGCAGAGGGGTAAAAGAGCCACATGCGGCTCCAGAGCCGCAGATTGCTGACCCCTGTCTTAGGGTATCTGAAGGCTCTTTCAAGATAAAGTTTGAAGTAGCCCATAACTGGCAAAACAGGTTTCCTTGGATCCTGTGAGAAAGACAATAAGAACATGTTTATCCTCTGCAATGACTGGTCAACAGAAATTGTCTGCAGGTCACTGAAGGAAAGATACGATCCAGGGATGGCCAAGTAGGGCAGACATAAATAGAGATCAGCAGCTAGTATTAAAAACCCAATGCCCAAGATGGTTTATATAATCTGATAATTCTCCTCTTTATTACCACACCTAAAAGCCAAAGATACATTTGGATTTGCAAAACAGGTGGCTTTCTTCTTCTTCTTCTTCTTCTTCTTCTTCTTCTTCTTCTTCTTCTTCATCTGCTTCCTCTTTTCCCTTCTCCTCCTTCTTTTCTTCTTCTTCTTCTTCTTCTTCTTCTTCTTCTTCTTCTTCTTCCTCTTCCTCTTCTCCCTTCTCCCTTCTTCTCCTTCTCCTTCTCCTTCTCCTTCTTCTTCTTTTTCTCCCTTCTCCCTTCTCCCTTCTCCCTTCTTTTCCTTCTCTTCTTCTTCTTCTTCTGCTTCTTCTTCTTCCTCTTCTTCTTCTTCTTCTTCATCATCATCATCTGCTTCCTCTTCTCCCTTCTCCTCCTTCTTTTCTTCTTCTTCTTCTTCTTCTTCCTCTTCCTCTTCTCCCTTCTCCCTTCTCCCTTCTTCTCCTTCTCCTTCTCCTTCTTCTTCTTCTTCTTTTTCTCCCTTCTCCCTTCTCCCTTCTCCCTTCTCTTCTTCTTCTTCTTCTTCTGCTTCTTCTTCTTCTGCTTCTTCTTCTTCTGCTTCTGCTTCTTCTTCTGCTTCTTCTGCTTCTTCTTCCTCTTCCTCTTCCATTTCCTCTTCTCTTCTTTTCTTCTTCTCCTTCCTCTTCCTCTTCTCTTCTTCTTCTTCTTCCTCTTCTGGCCACCTCAACCTTTGTTATTTGATGCCGTTGTATTGTGTCTTTGATATTGTCTCTCCATCTTCTGGGTCTGCCTGGTGTTCTTTTGCCGTCTCCTCTTTTTCTATATGCCTTGTATTTATAGAATCCCAAGACATTCTCTCCAGATGAGCAAACTGCTTCGGTTGCTGTTTTTGTATGTAGTTTAAGATTAGTAATCGTCTCCGTCATATCAAATTTAATCTTAAACCTACTTTTATGAAAAAATCTACAGACAGCAATCCTACATACTGTATACTCTAAACAACTGTCATGTCTTACTACATTGCAAGGGCTCTACAGACATAGGGAGTAACCTTATCACGCCCTTTCTATCCACATTTCCAGGTCCTCCACCCATTTTCTTTTGGCTCCCTTCTATTATCAGACGGCACTCCAGGATTACACATAATGTGGACAAAATCTGTGCCATAGCACATACGACCTGATACAGTACAGGTAGTCCTCAACTTAAGACCATATTAGAGCCTGGCAAGTTGTGATGTTCAGGAAAAGGGTCATCACATGACTGACTCCATTTTATGAGCTTTTTTTGTGGTGGTCATTAAACGAACATTGTGCTTAATGTCAATGCCGAAGTTCTTAAGCAGGGGCAATGTTCTGACCTAGGCTTCCTGAGAAAGCATAAATCACAATTATGTTCATTCACAGCCCGTAATGAGTCCCAAGCAGTTTGTGAATAGTCTGACAGAAGTCTGCCACAGTCTTTTGGGATAAGGCTGATAAGCACCCACCTTTATCTCCCTTGAAACGCTACCAAAGACCTAATTGCCAATTAGCTTTGCAAGGCCAAACGGAGCACAAAGTCAAAATGGAGCTTCAGAGTTTAAACCAACCAGAATGAACAAAGTTGCTTCCTGCAAAGGCTCATGTCCCTTTGCTCCACCTTTATGTCTTATGGGAGGAGCCAATCATCTCCCCCTGTTCCTCTGCCTCACTGATGTCAGACTCTGGAGGCTCCGGAGTCAGCACATAATTCCCAGATGGCCCTGGCCCCATCTCTGCCTCTGACGCAGAGCCCTCATCCGAGCCTTCGCCAGACTCCAGTACTGGCCCATGTTCCTCCCTAGCCTCCCCACTGTCCGACTCTGCTGCCAGCTCCACACGCCGCCGGCAGACCATAACAGGCAATGTCTGCTATGAGTCCATTTTTGTCCACTCCAGGGGAAGGATACTGCAAAATCTCCATTTCCTCCTGATCAGCTGGGACTTGGGAGGCAGAGAATAGATGGGGGCGGGGCCAGTCAGAATTTTTACTACCGGTTCTCCAAACCACTCAAACTACCCACAGAACCGGTAGTAAAAATTTCTGAATCCCACCACTGGCTAAAACCAACACAACAGGCAGGAACAAACTGAAATAATGCTCGAATAAAATAAAAAAACAATAAAGCCAAATAGGTCCACCAGAAACAGCCACTTCAATCTTGACCAGGACAGGTAAGGATAAGCCATCATACATACCTTTCTGGATCGCGGCACCTTGC